ATTAATGTTTCATATGTATTAATTACACTAATTATTACTAAAGATTTCTGAAATGCTATATTTTGATTAGAAAATAAAACATCATATAAACATTACAATTTGCTTAAATACTTTACTGATTGCATAAATAATGTATACACAGAAACACATTTTGTAAAGGTATTACGGATTTGTATACTATTTGAAATAACTATGATAAAAATGTAATGAGTGTCAAAAACATATGAACAGGACCATATTCACAAATTGTCTACCAGTTCAGATGTGGTTTTTATTAATCTGTGGAAGGCAGTTGGACACATAATTTCCTCAAACAAAATGTAATCCATAGGAGCCATGATCATGTTACTTTATTTTTTAAAAGAAACATGTTTAAACATTTACTTAATTATTCAGTTTCTTCAGGATCAAATTTATATGTAAACTAACGTAAAATTTATATCTTATTTGATCTGTTACCTGCAAAGGTGGATTAAGCACACTTAGCTAAAAAACTCATACACCATCCCAAAATGTTCATCAAGTTGGTACGAGTGTATATATATATATATATATATATATCAATATATATAACATTTATCGATATTCATGTATTGATTTATTCAATTAGTACATGAAACTCTACTTTATCCTTTGATATCCAGATGAAATATCTTCACAAACATAAGACTTCTTTTATCAAGGTCATTTTAGCACCATAGTAGTGAAAGTTTCTTTCATGCACATCTGTAGTTATACTGCTGTTTTTAATACATTGATATTTATATTTTCATCCTCTGAGTTACTCAAATGAGAATTAGTTACAATTATTTCCACTTTATTAGTTTAATATCAAAATATTGCAACACATTTACCAATCAGCAAACTAATTAAAATTGTAACCCCACATCCTGGACATCCCCATACTAGCATGTGGTTCTGGAATTCCCCGTGTTAGCATGTGATTTTTGGACTTTCCCATACTACCATGCAAGTTAGTTTGGAATTAGAAGTATTTCACTCTTAGTGTTCTCTTAATAATACTGTTTAACTGGAGATGAGTTTCATAAATATATTATCTGTCTATGAAATAATGGATTAACAACAGAAGAAACAATACCAATAAATAAGATTAGTTTTGTTATAATAAAGCTATTGAGATGGATCTACTAGGCTTAGAGCTCAGACTATTTGATATAAACTTACTTACTTTAGCACATTCAATAAGGTTACATACTAGAAGGAAAACCAAACTTTAAAGTAGAGCATTCTCTTCAGTAAATTTTGTCTTTAACAACTTTTATTTCCTTCAATATATTTATGTATAATTTTGTTCTGTTTTTTAAACAGAAACATCATGTTCAAATTCCTTGTATTTCTTCCTTTTTTGTTAATTCAGAGCTTCTCCACTTAACTCTCAGAGAAAATAATGCATACCTGTTCTAGGTTTTTTTCTTCCAAAAACGTTCGACTCATCAATACACTAGTCACAACTGAATCTTTCTTTGTGAATAAAATCATGTCATTTCCTATCCTCATAGAGCCACTGGTGGTAAACAGAAGTCATACAGATATATATATATACATATATTAATAAAAAACAGTGATGAAAAACATATTACTAATAAAAAACTGGTCTATATTACTTTGTTTGTTTAGATATTTTAAAAACTTTTATAAATTCTCACTACATATGCAGGTGTGTTAGAGCTGTATAAGGCATGGTTTGATCATATTCAGGATTCAAACTACTTCGCTCTTCTCAGAGAACAACACAATACTTAACTCTATGACTCTTATCTCCTGACATGCAGTTCTGCGCAGTAGGAGTTAAAATATACGTACATCATTTAATCACCACTGAAGTAATGAGGGAGGATAACAGAGTTCAGACGTGTATGTAAAAATTCTTAATGAATATAATGAAGTACATCTAAGATTAAGTACGCTTTTTTTTGTTAGAAATCTTGATTTTAAAATTCAGAAGCTTTAACCTTTTCACATTGGGCAGGTCAAAGTTTGCATATCACAACCTTTTACAGAGTAACATTCAAAATTTAATTAAATTATATGAATAAACTTGGCACCAAAACATAGATAATATATCAAATTTTATTACTGTATACATTCTAAGTTCTTAATCATATTAGGAAAAATTTTTTTTTTATATAGTCAATTTTCCTTAGTGTGAACATTTGCTCTCTAGGTCATCCCTGTTCTCTAATTTACTTACCACATTTCCAAGAAGTATGACATTTAAAATAAGTTACTTATTATAATACAGTAATTAATCAGGCAAAGCATAAATATTATAGCCTTCAATTTTATTTGGTTTCAGAGCCATAAAACAGAAAATTAGACCCCTCTTGCCATGCCAAGCTGCCATATCCTCTCCTTCATAGATTGCCAATAATTCTCTCTGACATTTAATACTATATTAATCATAATCAACAGAAAGTCAAAGTTTCAGCTGAATTTTTAATGGCTCTTATAGCATAGTTAGAAGACTAGAAAAATTATGATAGTTATAGGACATTGCCTGCTTTTTTACAAGTTATTATTCTGTGTTCTTAGGTACAGTATTTAATTTAAAAAACAATTTTTTGGAAAATTGATAAATTTTCTTTACAGTCAACAGTGGTAAAAAAAAAAAAGACCCAGGTAAATACTTCATTTCTTGTTTTTAATGTGTGTTCTTTATTTATTATTATAAATGTAAAAATTATAAACTTATTAGATTAGATAAAAAATAAAAATAATAATAAAAAATATTTCACTAGGTATGGTCTGAGCAGCTTGTGAGCGACCTGTGTGTTACGTAATTTGATAGGGTAACATGACTTACACATTCACCTAGTGATTTATAACTTGTGTGGCAAGATTATAAGTTAGACACAATTCAAAGGGCAATAAAACCATAAAAATTAAGTTGAAACAGATGTATACTGTTACAAGCTTTAAGCTAATTAGGATAAACATTTGTGTTTTCCTGTTACAATCTGTAGTCATTCCAGAAAGAAAAAAAGGTCAATTTAGAATTATTTCCTAACTTTTTTTATGGTAGTTATGAGAACAGTCAAATTGATCAATCTCGTTTAGATTTAAGGTAGAGAATAAACAGATAAAAAAAAAACTTGCTATATATATTTAGGAAGTTTCAAGGGTTACGCAAATGAAATTTAAAAATTTTCAGATGAAGATCTTAATATAAAATCACTGGTAGTCAACACTCTGATGCCATATAATTACGAACAAAGTTTTAGTAAAAAATACTTTAAAATTCTGATTTTTTGGCTACAAGAGGTTTTAGTGACTTGCATTCACAATTTAGTTCAATTACTTTCTTACCATGGTAAACTTTTCATAAAACATTTGAATATTAAATAAGTTTTAAATTCTTGATTTTATAAGGCAATATTAAAAATAAATACTGTCAGTTTCTCCTAACATAAGAACAGTGACATTTGCTCTCTAGGTAACCCCCACTTCTTTAATCAATTTACCACCCCTCCAAGAAGTACAAAATTTAACATAGTTTTTGTTGCCTTCAATCATATTTGGTTACAGACCATAAACTACAAAATCAGACTTCCCTTTCCACACCCACCTATCACATCCTCTTTTTCTGAAATTGCCAACACTTCATTCTCTCTGACATTTAATACTATATTATTTATAACCAATAGAAACCCAAGATTTTAATATATCAAATGATGTATTATATTACATAGTTTTCTGTATAGGAAATTGTTTATTTTGCTTCCAGTTCAAACTATATTCCCACGTGAAACACACTGACAAGCTTAGCTGAATTTTTAACAGTTCTTGTCATACAGTTGGAAAGAGAGAATATTTGTGATAGTTATGGGACATTGTCAGCTGTTTGCTTGTTATTATTCAGTGTTCTTTGGTACATTATTTAATTAAATAAAAAATTATTTAGTGCAGTAGTACATTAGTATAAAAAAGTAGGATTAAGTTTCATCAACATTCGACAGCAAAAAAAAGGACTTTATTTCTTGTTTTTCACACGTGTTCTTTATTTACTAGTCATGACATGCAAAACATTTGTGGTAAGTTTCATGCCCTTTGCTTGTATTAAAGCCAATCTTTCTTGCTAGCATTATGTGTTAAATTAATAAATTCTGGTCTATTTGAAAAAATTTTACATGGTCAGACAAACTAACTCATATAGACTTAACTTTATTTAATTAAACTACACATAAAGCAAAGTAATGGGATCTATAACAGTGTACAGATTATGGAACAGTTATGAGCGTTCGGTGTATGACATGGTTTTATGATTACAAACAAACAAAGAAACTCACAAAAACAAAAATAAAACCTGTACTAAAGAAAAAAGTAGCTAAAAAGGTGTTTCTACCAGTCTAGAAAATGAACTGAAGTGCTACATTGTTGCAAAGTAAAGTAAATGTAAAGTAGTAATGAAGGCAAACTAAGCTGAATATGTAGAAATGCCTGAATACATGTTCAACAATGTAGTGTTTGATCGAAAAATTTGTGAGAAAAGTTTCAGACAACTACAAGGATATTATTTATATTAATTATAAAAATAACTAAAACATAAAAAATAGAAACTTTCTAGGTTAGATTAGATAAAATAAGAAATATTAAAAACAGATATTTTTCCCAAAGTATACTCATGTGTAACTTGCACTTTGTGTAATTCAATAGGATAACGTAAGCTACAAGTTTACCAAGTGATTTACAACTTGTATGGCGAGAATATTAGTTAGACACAGTTCAAAAGGCAATAAAACAATAAAAGTTAAGTAGAAACAGATGTATACTGTTATGAGTTTAAAACTATTTAGGATAAACAAATATATTTTCATATTACAATTTGAAGTCATTATAGAAAAAAAAAGGTAATTTAGCTATATTTTAAGTATTTTTTTTGGTGGTCAAAGTAAACATTTTCCTAAATTAAAAATGTATTTCCAATAATACTTACCTCTGTTGACACTTTAGCTATCCCTTGACGATGGCTTTGCCCATCTAAGCATTGAACTTGCTTGCTCCAGTCTTTTATACCCCACTTGAATGCCCTTGGTAATATCTAATTTTCAAAACTCTCCACCAACATCAATACAATCTCTATCCAGGTACTGTATAGAAGCACCTCATTCAGATAATGTAATCACGTTTTCGAGACTTAAGCCATTCCCAGCACTAACACCAGCTCTTGGTGGGGAGGAAGGGCGGGAGAGTGTTAACAGAGATGTTATTGGAAATACATTTTTAATTTAGGAAAATGTTTACTTCCAAAATATACTTACCATCTGCTGACACTTTAGCTAGAATCTCACATTGAAAAGGTGAAGGGGCTAGTGAGAGTACTATCCATACAGAAAGTGTCTGCACAGAACCTGGAAGTACCGAAATAAGAGTGGTACCCAAGAGGGAAAAACTGAACTACATCCAGAACAGGTAAGCTCTTCACCCAGAACTGAGTATCGATATCAAGGGTGGAATAGTGCATGAATAATTATTATAGGACATCTCCAACCAGGTAGCCCAGGTTCCACAACTCGGTGTTGGAATTAATGGGTCTTGGTTCCTATATCCCATGTTGGTGGCTAAAGTAATTTGACCGCAATGTGATATATTGAGATACTCTATATTGGATCCCAACATGTAGTCATAGAGTGATGCATTCCAAACTACCAGAATTATGAAAAGAAAGATAGCAACACTGAAGTGGACAAATTTTCTCTTCCGCCTGAAGAAAGACCTAAAGGTAACATCCCAGGCTCGAAACAACAGAATCATGCATGCCATACTCAACCAAAGGAACAAACTAATCCTGTCTGGAATTATGAACATTCATCCTTACTCTTCAACTGCATGGGCAAGGAGTATTTCACTTGTCCCCAGAATTATGGATAGGACATGATGCCACTCCTACCAACATCTGTAAAATACATCCAGGGACCCGGTAGGAGGGCCTCCACCTTTGCCCTCTTATCCAAGAATGGAGGAACACACTCAAACACTCTGGAGGAAAAATCTTTATCCACCACCCCTGTAACTGGAAACTGGGTGTGGTAAGTACTCCCTAGCTCCACTAATAAAATCTGGGGGGTAATATGCATTGGGAAGTCCTGAAAAACAGTGCTCTGGACACAGTGCAATAGGTGAACCAAGTTCCCTAAATTTTTAAAAGCAAACCAACCTCGATTTATTCATCCTGATGATCAGCAGGGATGGGCAGGATCCCCTTTAGCTTTACTCATGATAGTCCATGAGAATAAGATAATACCATCCAGAATGCACCTAGATGGTCTTATGGAACACCTCATTTCTACAGAGTCTGTTGCAACCAGTAAGAAGGATAGTAAAATTGGTTGCTAGTGCAGAATTAGAATGAAAAAAGCACACCTGTCTGGGTAACAATTACCATAGAGTAGGATCCATATAAAAAGTACCTGGAAATCAAAATGAACATATGATGGAGAAAATAACTCACCCTTCATTAAAATCTAGCAGATATAATCAAAACAACCACAAGGAGTAGTTGAAAACCTTCAGAAGAGATCATGCAAGTAATGAGAGAGGAAAGTATTAAGAGAAGTCCACATACCAGCCTACAGAATGACTTCCAGAGGGTAATTCAAACGAGCAGCCAATGATATACATATGTGACAAATCTGGTGAGAAATGACTCCCAGCAACTTCCTCCACAGTAAAGATAGACCAGAGTAAGCAATATGAATCAATTTTCAAAGTCACCTTGTTAAGGTAATGGGGGATAAATCCCAGGATACCAGAGGATCCCATGGAATAAACAGTCTATTCTTATTACCCCAAAATGAGTTAGTATGAGCAACATAACACCTGATAGCCCTGAAAGAACATAACAAACGATTGTAAAGGTAAGAAATGGTTGGCAAGTGAATGGGTGAGGAGGATTTTTCCCCCTCTCTAGCTGCCAGTCTTTGGAAGGAAGGACATATCAGGATAAAGCAAACTATAGGTGAAATGATAAAGAGTCCTCTGTACATGTATTGCAAATAATTCTGATCGACAACGTCCACATGCCTACAACAACAAAAATATACCTTAATCGAAAAGTGATACAAAGAACAAGAGGCTAAAGGCTTGAAGGGATGACGAGACAAATAGGGGCTTAATGTCTAAAGTTATGTTATATTTAACTAAATCACTCCATTGACCTTCAATGGCCATTTATCAACAAAAATAATGCTCTTATTGTCAGTGGTGTATAAAGAGGAAATTCAACCCCATTCATCCAAAGGTGTCTATCATATTACATTGTTCAACTTGGATTTTTGAATGAGGTTTGGCTTTATCTACTGTGACCTTATATAAGGTGTACTTGTCAAACACTTTTCAGTGTATTCATAATGTAAGAAGGTTTTTGACTCTCCAGTTATATCTAACCTTTTAACATCTTTTGCATCCTTTGGCCTAAATTGCCTTTTCAATTACCTAATTGGGATGTTAAGGTTGTTTTATATGCTGTCTGACATGAAGTTTGAGTTTCTGAACATCTGGGTGTAGAACGTCAGATCAAGGTTGTCACAACAGAGATGTCCATAGAAGTGGTAAAGGTGGACACACCTGCAGATACTGAAGAAGAGGAAACCATGTTTGAGCTGGCCAAAATGGTGCTATCAAAAGAACTCGACAAGGAGTGGAAAAAAAACATAGCTAGAGCTTTGGGCAACAGACAAATCAAAGGAAAGGCATACAGATGCAAACCCGTCCAGTCCCGACTGAATGCATCTATTGCTAAAGCTCAAGTTGAACTGCAGTTGAGAATTCCAATGAGTTGCACAGTGATCAATCATCAAAGATTTGACTTGAGAGCAAATCCGCTGAAAAACCTCATAATGTAGCATCCATTCGGTTGAGAGAATCCAGTTAGGACGAGACAAATGATTCAGAATTAAATTCATCACTCCAGGAATGTGGCACGCCAAGAGGCTTATAAGAAGGAAGTGAGCCCAGTAGAGAAGATCCAAAGTTCGAAGACTATTATCTCAAGAATGTGTGCCCCCTTGACAAGAAATATAGGCTACCACTGCGGAATTGTCGGAATGTAGCAAGAGAGATAGACCCTAAACCATTGCTCGGTGTACCACAAGTAGTTCGAGAATGTTGATGTGAAGAGAAGACTTGTAGGCTGTCCAAATACCCTGGAACTCCTGACCGTGGACATAAGTACCCCATCCATGAAGAGGTGTATCCGTAAACTGACAAGGAGGATGAATCGGGACCATGATAGTGATGTTGTTCTGAACCAACCATCACTCAAAATCTGAAAGTTTGCTCCTGAGTAAGGATACAGGATGATCCAATGGATCAAAGTTCATGCTCAATTGGTCGCACAGCAACCACTGAAGAGACCTCATATGGGCTTGTCCCAAGGGAATGAGAGATTCGTCGGATTGACCATATCCTCAAAAGAAAGAGAACCATTCATGCAGTAGGAGAAAAAGACATAAGTAAAAGCCTGACTGTTCCTTCCATGTAGTCTGATGGGAGTTGGCTGAATTCAGGGGTTGGGAAACACGATGGGAAGACATTCCCAAACTACTAGCTGGAGCCAAAGAAAGACGAGAGGCCAACAAAGATAATGAAGAACATAAACTGGTAGCATCTATCCATGATTCCAAGGTCCCTGGAACTCCAGCAAACCACAAGAGATGAAGAAAATTAATACACTCATAATTCCCGAAAGGCAGTAGATGGTAGACGAACACCCTCCAATAAAGCATCTCTACCAAATAAATCCCAGCAACAAACAAGCCAGGAAACTAAGGAAAGAACTGAGGCCGACAGTCTGACCATAGTGGTCATCATCAAAGATCCCATATTGTCCTCAAACTGGTAAGGAGAATGATGATAGGCTTCAGACTAAAGTTGAGGTGAAGATAAATATCTCAGGACTGTCCTGAGAGTCAGACAAATTCGAGAAAATTGTGATCTGTTTAAGTTAATCACAGGTTCCAATCTGGAATCCCACATGTCCAATATGGGGTCCAGTCATTGAGAATCTAAGTATACATCTTCCTGGCAATGAAAAGCCAAGGCATGCTATTCTGATATGCTTGAAGGACAAGGCATAACTATCCCTTCACGTAACTGATTAGCAAATCTCCCAGCATGAACAGTAATATCTGGAGAAGGAGGAAGAACTAAGTAGTCACTTGCAATCCTTTCCACTAACAAAGAAGGAGCAGACTCAAAAGCAACAGGGGATAACCCCAAAACCTCACAAACTTGATTAACCAACTGAAGAAAAGGAGTAGGAGGTGGTTGATCTAAACTGTCTTCTGTCAAGGCTGGCCTGGTAAACAAAGGACCTGGAAAAAGGGAGTCTAAATTCTCCCCAGCATGTCCAGGATAATTTGCAAAACCCCGCCTCGGAACCCTCTGAAGAGACACCCCTGGTTCACATATGTAGTCATCTCACAACATATGTAATCATCTCAGATCATATCACTGACAGCCTCAATTGAGAGTGATCCCTTCCCCGACTGTTGACAAATACCAGATAGCAGAGGTGGAATAGGGGAGTTCTGGTTAGCCTCTGTAGTTGAAACATTTAACTTTTTTTTTTTTAAATGAATGAAAATAAACTAAATTTTCACCATAGAAAACAGAGATCAACGATGAAAGTTGCAACTGAAAAACGTTAACAATCACAGCGTTCCTGTATAGAAGCACGTGCCAAACAATTTGTTGGGAAAAAGTGATTAGATTATCTGAATGAGGTGCTTATATACTGTACCTGGATAGAAGGGGTATTGAAGTTGGTGGAGAGTTTTGTAAATTATATATTGCCAAGAGCATTCAAGTGGGGCAGAAAAGATTGGTGCAGGTGAGTTCAATGCTTAGATGGGCAAAGAAGTAAACACCTTGAAAACTGAGAAAGAGCTAAAGTGTCAGTAGATGGTAAGTATTTAGGATGTTTTAGAGATTATGCAAATGAAATTTGAGATTTTTCAGACAAAGAAAAGTACTTTTAATATTAACATGAAAATCACTTTGACTCCATGGAGACATTTTTAGTGAAAATACTTCATTATCAATTCTGATACTTTTGTCTGCAAATGACCCTTAATGATTACTGAAAGCCTGTAAAATTTTGAAAAGATATACAAAAATATTAGAATTTATAATATGTAAAATATAAAAGGTCAACTTGGGGTTACAAATTTGGCCGAACCCATTCCGAGAGAGTTCACTGATTATGTCAAGGTAAAATCAGTAGCTATAGTTAATACTTCACCAAGAAATATAAATATACACTCACGATTTCAACCCATTTCCATACTGGCCAATCATTGATTCAACTCCTCGTTTTAAAGACTTTCCAAATGTTATCACAGTTGTTGCTTCCACTAAAAATGTAAAGAAAAATTCAATGTAACACCTAGAAATAAATTTTCCAGTTTTTGAATTTCTTGAAAATAAGATAAAACTAATGTTCTCAAAGGTTAAGAATGTTTGAAGGACATCAAAAAATATAAAACTTAAGCTGTTCGCTGGATAACTAACAAAGGTCTCCAAAAATCTCAGATTTGCCTTCGGTCTGCTACAATCATTAACTACTTAGAAAAGTTATTGGAAAGCCTTAATCTTAAAATCAATGATAAACAGCACACAGAGCATAAATGTCTTATCTGATTACTTTAATTTTGCTAAGATTTGTCAGTTTCATTTTCAAATTTTTTCACAAAAGTTGAAATGAGGTCATGCTGAACGAAAGTATTACGCACTTATGGAAAAGGAGATTACTACTCAGTCAGGAAATAATATTTTCCTACTTTTAAAATGTATTTCCAACAGATATATATATATACAGTACTGTGCAAAAGTGTTAGGACAAGAGAATATTTTGTCATTCTTTCCATTTAATGGGGCTAATTCTTT